TATATATATATATATATATATATATATATATATATATATATATATATATATAGCAACGTCGCCTCTCTTCTCCCCGCAACATCGTGGATTCTTCTCCCCGCGCGGATGAGAAGTCACTGACAGACGAGGAGGGAGAGCGGCGCAAGTTCTCCTCTCCTTCTCCCTTTTCTTTCTTCCACTTCTCCCTCTTCTTCTTCTCCCTCAGTCACCCCTCTTCTTTCTACTCCCTCGGTCACCGTCCGATTTAAAATGATAATGAGACGAAAACAGCGCCACTCGACGGCATCGCTTGGTACGAGCGGTTTATTCGAAATTAAAAACCTTGGTGTCAACTATATTCTTAGCTAGGATTCATAAAAGAAAAATGACAACTAACGACCCTCCAAGTTGGTGTTTAATTTTGTGTGCAACTCTGAAGCGACTAACTTAGACTCGAGTTATCTAAATTCATTGAAGAGGGCGATTAATATGCAATATCATTGGAAAATCTTGAATTAGACATTCTGTTTAATGATCTTCAATAGTCCACAATAACAACAACAAGAAAACGTAATGGCCCCACTATTTGGAGTAATGCTCTTCGAGAGTCTACCAGCCAAAATCCAGCTGTGCTCAACACAAAGTATTGTTCCATAAATGCCAAAAATTCTATTCCTGCCCAATCTAAATTTGAACAAAAAGCAAGATTAATGGTTAAAAACCATTTAAGGAAATGGAGTATTAATATTAAACATCATTATATGTAATGAGGCTCTATACAGAGTCACAGACCAATCTACTTCATTTGTCTAATCAAATGAAATTTAAATGTTTGATACCTGGAGGACTTATGACAAAGAATCTACAAGTATCATAGGATGTCTTTCTAAATATGAATCAGTAGAAAATGATCCTGTTCCATATCGAGTAGCATAATGAAGAATTTCAATGTATTCAATGAAGTATGTGATACCTGGCATGCTTTTTGCAAAGCAGAATGTGTCTGATCAGAAGCATAAACCACTAGTTTTTCCAAGGATTTCTTCCCAACCTTCCTCAATATCTTATCACGAGCAGCTAATAGAACAACAAGAATTGCTTCACTTGCAGTACCCTGGATTACCCCACCACCCTTGCCTGAAGGTCCTTCTTACATGTTAGCACTGTAAGTTGAAGAGTATAAAAGCGGGAGGTCCACCAGTAAAGAAATCCCTTTTTCTAATAATAATTCATACATGGTGAGAAAATTCAAAATTATTTTCATAAAACAAACAAAGATTTACTCACCTAAATAAGCTACAAACATAAGTTCGTAGGATTCACAAGTCTGAAAATCTAAATCTACTAGCAATATTATTGCTTCAGATTTAGAATCAACAATATAAATGCAAACCAAGGTTCACTCCAGGATGGAATTTGCAGATTGCTTGTATGTATTCCTCAATCTCCAAATACATTGTGTTATGGAGCACTTGTATGTACAGACACACGAACTAAGGAACTAATGTCATCATTATCAATTTATGGCATGATTAGTTTTTACAACCAAAAAGACAGATTTGGAAGAGATTCACAAAGAAGAGTATAACTGTTGGCATCAGGAAGGCACAGGGTACAAGCATTGGGGACTAGGACCTGCGTGCCCAACATATACTGATCATAACAACTATGGCGTGGTGTGCCCATGCAGCTGCATGTGGCAGACTGTAAAACCTGAATTTTCATTTATTTAAAATTAATAATACAGAATAGTGGGGCTACAGTACTAGCTGATCTAGAATTGGAGTCTCAGTACTCAGTAGACTACTTTGATGGAGTCTTAGCTGACTATGACTCCAATTTGTCCTTGTAACTAGTCTTTTTCAAATTTACCATCATCAATCAAATCTTGTGCACCTGGAGTTACAGAGATGACTAATACATGATTCATGATGCATTAGATGGACTAACAGATTCTTAAAAGAGTTTATCAAAAGGAAAATATAAACTTAAAAAGGACCTCATCCTGGTATACGACAGCAAGTATATCTTTTGTTGGATAATAACAAATATACTTCTCGATAAATTTAATTGATAATATCATCTATATATATATATATATATATATATATAAAATAAATTCACAAATTTTAATTGATTTATTCTAATTATTAAAACTTAGAAAATTTGCATGAAAGAGGTCAAAATGTGCCAAATTATTATATGCCTATGATTTGTACCACTAGAGCAAAGTACGTTAAGGAATCTGGAGCAAAATACTATTAGGAATTCGCATAATGCAATATGAACAAAATTCAGGTACATAACCCTAGTTCAACAAAATAAAACATACAAGGGCAAATTGATATAATATATTATAGCATCCAATAAGTTCCATGTTATTAATCTACAAGTATCCAAACACTTACCAGTTGAAAGGAACTGGTTAGGCAGCTTAAGCATTTTAGCGAGCCAATCAAGGACAATCACTTCAAGTTCTGTTGCAGCAGGAGAAGTAACCCAACTGAAACCCACAATGTTGAATCCAGCACTGAGCATTTCTCCCAAGAATCCAGCTGTGCTGCTGTTAGATGGAAAGTAAGCAAAGTAATCTGGGCTTTGCCAATGGGTTATGCCAGGTATTATCTTCTGAAGGATATCTGCATATGTAATTGTGATAAATAATTCCTTCGTACAACACTGAAGACTAGGTTCTAGGTCAAGGATCTAATAAAAGGGTATGTAAAAGGATAAATGAATATAAAAAATTAATGATAGGAGTGAGAACTGTTAATGGTAACAGGAACTAAGAGATAATAGTTGTAAAAAAGCTTCACCATCAAAAACGTCTTGCAAACATTCAGGATCATTGGGTGCAGATTCAGGCAGAAGCTCCGCAAGGTATCCAGGCTGCAAAAGTTTTATAATTACATTACAAATGTGTAAATTATTTAAATGAAAATGGTCATGAAGATAAAAGAAGGTTAAGTTTCCTTTAAATCTTCAACTTAGTGGCTCAAGAATTCTGTCACAACCCAACCCCAAAATCACATGGGGCTTAGACTAAACGGAGTTTTTATAAAGCATTAATTGGAGGTGCTAGTGACTCATATACAACCTTAATCTTTAGTGAACTGTTTTCTGGATATCATAATTTCTGGAGTAACATCTCTGTCAGATCCATACATATATTCACTTGGATCACCAAGGTCCCTAACAAATGATGTGGGATTCTAAAGGTGTCATGTCCCTCAATATTACTCTCATCTACCATGATGATACTCCCTTCAGGCCAGATATTCATTAGAATGCATCAATATTTCACAATCTTAAAATGAAATTTTGTAAACCGTTGGGTTATGTATAACCTAACCAGCCGGCACAAACTGCAGCCCTCTCTCCTTGTAAGTTATTACAATTCAAAAAGATGGTTTATCAGAAGGAACATGAAGCTTTGTTCTTCCATTTACTCTTGCACGTACAAAATTCAAGAGCAATATAATTGGCATTAGCAGAACGCCAGCAGAATCTCAATCAACTTATAATAGAAAGTGGAATCGTCCTCCTAAATTAAATAAGAAAGCAAAACAGATACTCAACCATTATAATAGAATTCCAAGATTTAGCCCTGTCGAATGCCGATTAAGGAAAACCCATCTTTTAAATTCCAGCACCCAACATCAAAAAATGATCTTCCAAATAAAAAATATCTCAGCCGAGAAGTTGCAATTCCATCGCCTAGCAGCGATCGATAACTACAGCAAAGAAAACCCCTTGAAACAGAATGGAGAACTCTATCAATCTAGCAACGACCAAGAACCAAAAATCGGGGTCAACAGCTGACACTAGGGAGTGGAAACAGCCCCGAAAAGAGAAAAGAGAATCATAAGCAAGGGAAACAGTTTCTCAAACATACATATTGGACACCCAACATTTCAGCATTGGATCATGCCGCGGCAAGAAGCAAGGAACGCAGAACGCAAAAAGCGAGGAACAGATTCTTGAAATACCTTGACCTGGCTGAGGACGGGGAACGACTCGATGCTCTTGTAGTAATCCGCGATGAAATCGACCATCCTGTGGCCGCACTCCCTCAGCTGCTCCGCATCCATCGGCTTCAACGAGCCCTCCCTGGAGGCAGCGCAACCCACAAATCGCGACGCGTGAGAGATGGAAGAGCGGATCAACAAACAAAGAGCAGGAGATCGGAAACAACACTTACATCGGGAGAGGGAATCCGATATCTCCTGTAGGTCACGAAGATGCGAAGTGGCGGAAGGGGGAAATGGACGGGAGGGAGAGCAACGCATTGGGCCAGCGCTCGATGTTATCCATGTCGCGTATACGTATCGGATATGGTCTGTATTGTATTCGTATAAATTGTACCGGAAGAAGTCACCGTCTCTGCCTCCTCATCTTATACTTGCCGCGTTTACCAGTCTTTTCATTGGACAAGACGATGCACTCCGCGTGGGTCCCACGTACTATTTTTGGGCCCCACAAGAATGAGCCCAGTAGAAGACTCTCTTAACACTCATGTTAGCGGGTGTGCAAAATAAGAATAATATGAAGTAGGGAAATTAAGCATAAATTAGAGAAATTGATCGCTGGCTGCTTTGGTCCAACACAACTCGTAGTAATTAAGCATAAATTAGAGAAATTGATACCTAACAAAACCATTGTAGATAGAGATGATTATGATATAATTACGATAATTAAAGAGGACACAGATTGTTATGTCGGGACATATAGAACTAAATATCTATCATATATATATTTTTATTACATTATAGTAGAATTTGAGAATGAGACATATTTATATTTGATTTTCAGCTTAAGATTATACGAGTCATCAAATAGGATGTGTCCTATACACATGTTATATCTTAAGGTATATATCATAGAGGATCTTTGAGTGGATACATATCTATATCCCATGAATCCTTAACTCTCTCTTTTTTATGAGAGGAATATATGACATTTTTATAAAGGCAAACACTTGTTTGAATCCTACCCACCAAAAAAACATGTGACACTCATCTAAAAGACATTCATCCTTATAAAAAAATTTATAAATCTTATATTATGAAATAAAAAAATGAAGAGTTAAGAGCTTCTGTTATCAAGAACCTTACGTGAGATGCCTAAACGAAGAAAAAGTTCTCAAGCGAGAAGAGAATCCTCAGTTATCAAAGTCTCTATCCCGTCCATTCTTTTTCTTTTCTGGTTTATCCTATCATTTTTTTCCTTTCATCTTTAATTATCATAATAATATCATTAGTCACAGTACTATCACTAAAAGGTTACTAATTACCATTAATATAGTCTCCATCAACAATCATGCGCCATCTCTTCTATCATACCATTTGTTCAAACTAAAGTTCTCTTTTTTTTCATTGTCCAAACCCAAGTATTAGATTCTTTTCAATTATATTAAGAGTTATTTACACACACACACACAAATATATATATATATATATATATATATATATATATATATATATATATATATATATATATTAAACACAGGTAGTGAGACACATTAAAATAACCAACACTTGGGTATCCCTACTATTTGGCAACCATGACATGCTTCAAATGATGATCTCAAGCAATGACACCTATTTATTAGGTGGAAGCATCAACTCATAAATACCTTGAACTCATAAAAGTGACCTAAAAGGGCAGCTAAATCAATTAAAATCAATGAGTGCAATGCAACATTAGTTATGAATAATTGAATGCAAAGTTAGTCAAAAAATGATTGCAAAGAGAGCTCAAATACTATGCTACCACTCAAAAAGCAAGTGCTTCCCACATAATTTAACAATGGAAGTTTGTTGTGTCTCAGATAGCAGCTTATCTGCCCTGTCATGGAAGCAAAGAACAGTGAAACAAATTGCTTTGTTAATACTTCAGATCATGATCTTGATGCAAATGTATTCACTCAAAACATGCAGAGTGGTGAATCATCGGAGACAAAGACTTTGGAGATGCCACAATGGAACCTCAAGCAGCAGCTATGAATTAGAATACATGTTTCTGCAACTTGTAAGATTAAGTAGCTTCAAAGGTCATATTTAGTTTAAGATGTGATGTATAACTTCTAATTCTGCTGTTGAGATTCAAGATGATGATGCTGGGATTCCTCACTGCCTCGAAACTTCGGCACTAATCAATGCTTAAACAGTATAATAATCTTCAGATCTTGTCATGTTGATGAAGAACATAATTAATTCACATCAGATACCAATTCTAGCAAGCAATCTCTAAAAGAAATGATTGGTTTGCTTGTAACATAATATCACACTCTTAAGTTGATTTTGGTTGCGTCACTCTGCAAGTTTTTAAGTTTGAGGCTGCAGAATCACTTTCAGATTTTTCTTCCTCTGCCTTCCATGTTCTACTTATTATATGCTACTTCATTGATCAATTACCCACAGAAACTTCTTTCTGAGCTCAAGTTTGGAATAGATTATGTAAGAGAGGAACAACAGGACTTGGCTGGACAGAAGTTTACATGGAAGTGAGAGAGAGATTCCCTTTGTCATTACCTTATAATGCTATACTACAATAACTTCTCCTTGATCTAAACAACTCCTGGAAAAAATAAAATAACATAAAATATTGGATTAAATTATTTGAAGTGTGGCATCAGAGGATTCAGATAAGACACTGCAGGGCCCAACATTCTGAGCTCAGGCATGTGAGTATGTGATGCTGGATCTTCCTGGTTGCAAAGTTTGACTTTGTTGATTGAGACTTGAGCTGCCTCCTGCCATTCCAAGATGCTGATGTCTGGATCTGAGCCATGGTGTAAAAAAAAGGTCAGTGTTGGGTTGATGATGATGACCTAACTATGATATTAAAAAAGGAAATTTATTTCATAGATCATTACTTGCATCAGATAAAGTTTAAGAAGGATCAATGTCCACAATCTTACCAAAACAAATATATACAAGATGGAAATTCAAAGAAGTTGCAGTAAATAACCTACCATGTAGTTTTTTCTTTTCTTTTTGCTGTGTTTGATGCATAAATTTGTTGTCTGTCAAAGTGTTGGCTTTTCCACATGGATTTGATCAGAACAGCTTGTTGATGGATTCCTCTGTTTACTTTACTGTTGTTTCATATCTTTCAGAAGAAAGATGGTGTGTTCAATTCATTGAATCCTCCTCTTTGTATATATATTCAAGTCAATGAGAAATAAAGAACATCTTAAATGATTAGGTGTATCTTTAAATGCTGAAGTTTCTGATTCTGAAAGTCAACAGCCTATTTTGATTGGCTCTCCAGAGTTCTACAGAGGTAAGTAAGCCTATGAGAGTCAAAGCCTAAGGCTCCATTTCCAATTTGGATTACATTTACTAGGCCAGAGACATACCACCTCTCAGTGCAGAGTCTGAAGACCCAATTTCTGAAAGTGCTGAACTCTCATGTTTGCTGAAACTTTCAGACATCTAATTTTGACAATTGGTTCAGAAATCAATCAGAAGTGAACACTTCTATGAGGAATCTGAATCATATATTAGTTTCTGATGAACTATAGAAGTTATTTTCTATTCTTGATAGCATAAAATTTGCACAAACAAGATAGCAAATTCTGAAAAGCTAAATAAATATACACAGAAACTGAGTTTGTCAATGCTTCAAAAATGAATCTGCAGTGAGCAATCTAAAACATAGAAATTAGTTTCTGTTGAACTTAAAAGCACTTTTTTCCCTCCATAAAATTGTGTAGCATTGTAGAAAGAAATAACAGCAACCTTACACCTGTAAACAAAGAATTAAACCAATAAAGAAAATAATGATAGGCAATGCCATGTATTCCATGTTCTTCTTGTGACTTCCCTTTTTTTTCCATATTTTAGTATTACTTGAAAACACACATGAACTTTATATTATGACTGAGATGAAATGATGCATGTAAACTCTGTACAAATGACAAGGAATAAGACAAGAACCCAAAAAGAAAGAAAAGGATGATATAGCCTTCAGTGGATAGGCAGAGTTGAAGGTGATGTTTTTTTTGAAGAAACCAAAAGCCTCTCCACACCTACCATACAAATGTCTTCTGGCTCTCAAATTCCTTGTCATTAAAATCCCTACATGATTGCAACTTAATAGCTTTCTTTTCACCAGAAGGTCGAAATTAGGTTGAAAGATGCCAAGGTGATTGGAAGTTCTTCCTGATTCTAATTAAGTAGGTCAAGCTCATAAAAACCAAAATATATCACTTGAAAAACACCTTAAATGACTTGGGATAAGAAAAAAAATCTTTTTCTCGGAATCTAGTAAAATATTGAGTTTAGTGAGACAATCAATCTTCGTTCTAGTAGACTTAAGGAGCCAATTAATCGATTTATTTTCTTATTCATGTGTATCTGTGATATGAAAGTCTTATTTCATTACTATCATAAAAGAACATTACTATTCTTCTTAAAATTTAAAAAAATAATCAAATAAATATTAAATCAACTTGAATTAATTAAATGATAGTCGATTTCAGATCGACTTCTATATTTTATTTGAATTTTTTGCAAACTGTTTCAGTATTTGAGTCATGTAATTTTTTGTTGGAAAATTACATATTTTATTTGTTTTTTAAAAAAAATCTGACCAATAAAAAATAAATAAATTTATATCAATATGGATCAGAGTACATGAAATTGATTGGAGTCCGTAACAGCCACATGAAATATGGATCAGACTACAAAACAAATGGTCATAAAGTCATATATATATATATATATATATATATATATATATATATATATTATTGATATTAAATTCTTATAGAATATAATATGAGTGTTGTCCGAAAACGCATCTCAACCGTCCGTTCCATCAAAAAGTTAATTTGACCAAAATGGACGGTTAAGATGACAGAAAGAGCGTGTCGCTAATGCCACTCCTGCAGCCTATAAAGCGAGCTCCATTCCGGTCTCCTCCTCCGCCCGTTCCCCCATCCTCTGCACGGTCGCTTCGCCCCAGTCGGCAGAGATGTCGTCATGCTCGTCGGAATTGACGCCGCTGCTTGGCGGCGCCGCCAACTCCTCCGCGGCTGCCGACTACATCTGCAACCAGTTCACGGACGCCGGCTTCGCCATCGACACCACTTACCTCCTCTTCTCCGCCTACCTCGTCTTCGCCATGCAGCTCGGCTTCGCCATGCTGTGCGCTGGTTCGGTTCGCGCCAAGAACACCATGAACATCATGCTCACTAACGTGCTCGACGCGGCGGCCGGCGGGCTCTTCTACTACCTCTTCGGGTTTGCCTTTGCCTTCGGCGGCCCCTCCAACGGCTTCATCGGGAAGCACTTCTTCGGCCTCAAGGAGGTGCCGCAGTCCAACTTCGATTATTCCAACTTTCTCTACCAGTGGGCCTTCGCAATCGCCGCCGCCGGCATCACCTCCGGCTCCATCGCCGAGCGCACCCAGTTCGTCGCCTACCTCATCTACTCTGCCTTCCTCACCGGCTTCGTTTACCCCATCGTCTCCCACTGGTATCTAACATCGATCTCATTAGTCCTTTCAGAATTGCATCGTTGATAGCTCTGTTTTGGTTGACGTGACGGTGATGATGATGATAATGGATGGTAGGTTTTGGTCGGGCGATGGGTGGGCGGCGGCGGGCCGGAACCCGGGGGAGTCGCTGCTGTTCAAGTCGGGGGTGATCGACTTCGCGGGGTCGGGCGTGGTGCACATGGTAGGGGGCATCGCGGGGCTGTGGGGCGCCCTCATCGAGGGCCCCCGCATCGGCCGCTTCGACCACACGGGGCGCTCCGTGGCCCTTCGCGGCCACTCGGCCACTCTGGTGGTGCTCGGCACCTTCCTCCTCTGGTTCGGCTGGTACGGCTTCAACCCGGGATCCTTCAACGTCATCTTCAAGACCTACGGCCCCAGCGGGTCCATCCACGGCCAGTGGTCCGCCGTCGGGCGCACCGCCGTCACCACCACCCTCGCCGGCTGCACCGCCGCGCTCACCACCCTCTTCGGGAAGCGCCTCCAGACGGGCCACTGGAACGCGGTCGACGTCTGCAACGGCCTCCTCGGCGGCTTCGCGGCCATCACCTCCGGCTGCTCCGTGGTGGACCCGTGGGCGGCCATCATCTGCGGCTTCGTCTCCGCCTGGGTCCTCATCGGCCTCAACAAGCTGGCCGCCACGCTCAAGTTCGACGACCCCCTCGAGGCCGCGCAGCTGCACGGCGGGTGCGGCGCCTGGGGGATCATCTTCACGGCCCTCTTCGCGAGGGAGAAGTACGTGAACGAGGTGTACCAGGGGCGGCCAGGGCGGCCCTACGGGCTCTTCATGGGCGGCGGCGGCAGGCTACTGGCCGCCCACGTCATCCAGATCCTGGTCATCCTGGGGTGGGTGAGCTGCACCATGGGTCCATTATTCTTCGCGCTGCACAAGCTGGGCCTGCTCAGGATCTCCGCCGAGGACGAGATGGCCGGGATGGACCTCACACGCCACGGCGGCTTCGCCTACGTCTACCACGACGAGGACTCCAGCGCGCACGACGGCGGCGGGGGGTTCATGCTCAAGTCTGCGGCGGCGCGGGTGGAGCCGCGGCCCACCCCGGCGACCACCAACCAGGTGTAGCTGCGCCATGCACGTACTTGGTGCTCTTAATTCCCAGCGTGGCTAATTAGTCGTGTTCTTCACTCCGTTCCCTCATAGATTTTGGGTTACTCCGTATTGTTTTCTTCTCTGTCATCTCGAGGGGAGTGGAAAAAGCCACATGTACAAGGTGTTAAAGGGTGTGTGTGATGAATCCAGTAGGACTAGATTGGGTTCTCTCTCTCTCTCTCTCTCTTAGTATGGTTTGTCTTCATGTGATAATAAGATATAGCGAGCGTAATTTGAGCGTATTTCTAGGTTTTCTGATAGAAAGATGAGGGAAGAAACAAGCGATGGAGGTAATTCCTGTTCTAAAAGAGCAGAACAGAGCTGCAAAAGTTAAAAGGGGTAAGTGTAGCAGTAGCGATTGAGGTTGATGGCTTGGCTTGAAGTCTCTTGTGGAGCCAATGATGTGGGGACGATGGCTTTAGGTGGGAGACGACCGGGGAAGTCTTCGTGCCCTCTTAAATGACAGTGGAGGTGTTCTGCGCAGGCAGACAACAAGAAGCTTCCACTGGTACTGCTGTTGCTGTTGCTGCTGTTGCTGCGAGCTCGCTCAACGACACAAAGGCAGATAACTCGTGTATGGATCTTATTCTCCTTCCAATTCCTCCATGCTTCTTCATTCACACCACATAGCTTTCGACCATAGAAAGCCAACAAATACCACCAGGATGTGGCTCATTTTCGAGTCTCTTCACCAGGAGATGAGGTTCGATCAAAAACAGGGGAAATCTTTGACCACAACACCGAAAGATCACGGCGACTCTTCGTACAAAGTGTCGCAGCCCAGCAAGAAAGCGCGGAGCCAAAGAACTTACTTCGCTTACTTTTCTACGAGTCAAAGTCTTCCTAAACGTGTACGGTTTCATAATAAGGAAAAGGATACATCACCAGCGACGCCCACCAAGCTTGAAGAAACCTTCTTCTTCCTCCTCCTCTGTTCATGCGAGACGGATCGATGCTCTTCCTTTCGTAGGAAAACGAGACAGAGTTGACCAGCAATACCCACTGACTCGTTAATTTCGCTAAAAATTATAATGAGATAATTTTTTATTTGCTCGGACGTGAATGGTTTTATGCATTGGTTTTCAATTTTAATCAGTAATTTTTGGAAATAAAATTAAAATGTATCAATAGAACTATTGGAAAGAGGCAAACAGAGAGACTTTGTCTATGTTTCCTTTGTGTGACAAAAGACACAGTCAAAAACATCATTGAAAAAAAAGATTGTTATTTTAATCCATCAGTTATTTAGATTTAATCATTTAACTTTATTCTGCATCACATTGGCATCTTCTTCTAACCTCATCTTGATCTTATCAACGTAGTAGAAAATGGATCATATCAGTCTATCATCTCATCAACCCAACTCATGTTTGAGTTTATTAGAGTTTTGAAGATTAATGATAATATTTTTAAAGAATAATAATTTTGAATTGGTTATTCTAATATATCGATAGTAGTGAAAATTTCAGCTTTTAATTACTGAAAAATATAATATACTAAATATTGTATCGATTTCTTTTTTATTTTATGTCATTTATATACAATGATAATAATAAAATATAAAATCTCAACTATTTAAGATCGATTTTATGGATAATTTTTTTCATAATTAAAATATAGAAAATGAACATATTTAATTAATTAAGAGTATTTAAATATATTTATTTTTATTTTTGATAAAAACCATTTCCTTTTACCGTTAATATTATTTGTCTTACATCTTCAAACTAAATTAACTAACAAGTTCATATACTTGAAAACCATTACTACTTATTTTATCCACCATTGAAGCTGCACATAATTGTTCATCAATGAAAAAAAAAATTATTTTCTGATAAATTTACTTTTACCAAATATTCTTATCTCAGTATTTTTTTTTTTGTATGGATTGTATCTTAATAACACAACGTTCAGATCCATAAAACATTGTCGACCTAACAATTATGATATAAAATAATAATGCTCATGCCATTTATATATTTCTAGAAATTTTCATGAATACGATAAAAGAATACTCAATTTTTAGTTTTGTTTTGTATTAGTAACTTTTTAAAATTAGAAAGCAAAACTAAATTTGATTAGTGAGTAGAAAACAAAACTTTGGGTGTGCATCAGATTGTCAATAGAAGGTCATTAAATAAACAAAAACAACAAGCCTTGCAGAGATGGCAATAATGATTTGATATATACTGCTCATAAAACTGGCATGTCCTTCGATGACACAAATTGATATGAGTCAAAACACACAAATGATAGTAAATCTGCCCTCATATTAAAAACAATAGGGACAGACAGGAGAAAATGAAAACAAAACATCAATCAGCATTCACAAACTATGTTATAATGTAGTCTATCGGAGTATAGTTTTGTGGTGACAAGAATGATCTATAAAATATTTTTTTTTAATGTTTGGATCATTAAAGGATATGTATTAAGGATTTCCCTATACATATATAAGGTTTCATAAATATTTTAGAATTTTTGAAAAAATAATTGCATTGTCATTAATGTGGCCCATATTAAATTTTAGGACAAAGTGGTATTAAATTCATATTAAATTGAAAAAAAAAATCAAACTTTGAAAACTGAAATTAGTAAAATATTTTTTTTTATTTCTTAAAATATATAAATGATTTTTTGTCTTCTCAAAATTTAAGATTTTTAGATTTTTGTTGTTATTTATTGAAATATATAAATAATATATATTATATTTATATTTACTTTATTTTAAATAATTTTATTTTTATATTTTATTCATTTTTTATGATTATGATTTATTTATAATTTTAACATCAATTTATACAATCATTTTTTGTATTTGTATTATTATAAATCAATATATATTAATATTGAAAGTGTTGGATCAATCAAATGGATATGGATCTTAAAGTAAAAGAAAATATGAAAAATAAATAAAAGAGTGATCAATAATATTTTTTATCAACTATGTTAATCGATATATTTAAAAATATATTATAAGATAGATAAAAGATTGATAACATTTTGGCTACGAATAAAGATTATCTTTTGATGATGAAATCAATTAATAATGTTATGATCTAATCTGCATTTTGAGTGATACAGGACTAGCTTCATTCAAGAAAGACAATGAAAGTAGGAAAATTCAATATTGGGTCGGAGTGAAATATGTCAGAAGATTGGATATCAAGCCAGAGGATCCGACGTGTCGGTAGAAGGTTTCATGCAATAAGTTTGCGCAATGAGCCTAGAAGAGCAGACATCATGTCAAGAAGATCGGAGTTGCGGAGGTCAATATGCCGATTGAGCAAAAGGCCACAAAAGAGGACGATGCGCTAAAGGATTGGATGATGCGCCGATGAACCAATGACATGTTGGATAACATATGATTAATTCTTTATAATAATTGTCTAGATCGAAGTAGTTTTAGCTGTAATTGGGTTGGTTTAGAATGTAATTAGGCCAACTCAATTAGGGGCTAACTATGCCAAAAGTGAGATTGTTTTAGGCAAAAGAAAGGCCCATTCAGTGACCCAAAAGTTGGGTCAGACGATGGCACCATTGGTCCAGGCAATGACACCATCGGTCAAGGCGATGGCCTCGCTAGTGGCTCAAACTCCGAGACAATTTTCAAGACTATGTCAAGCAGTGGTACCGCTAGACTAGGCGGTGGTATAGTCCAGTGTCAATGTTGCAGGCGGTAGTATTGCCCAACTTAGGCGGTGGTACCGTCGGGACCCGGGAAACCCGGGATGAGATATTTTTTGGCTCTAATTTTAAAGTCATTTGTATATAAATACCCCAACTATTCCTACATGGAATCCACGAATTTAAGCAGAATATTGAGTTGAAAAGGGGGGAAATAATACTTGAGTAAAAGTTATAATCTCTTTAGATTAGTAAGTTTCTTCCTCCTAGAGTTAGAAGGTTTATAAGACGGTGGTCCCGTCAGACTAGGCGATGGTACCACCAGACTAGACGATGGTATAGCCTAATATCAATGTTGCAGGCGGTGGTATTGTCTAGCTTAGGCGGTGGTACCGTTGAGACCCAGGAAACCCGGGATGAGATCTTTTTTAGCTCCAATTTTGAAGCCATTCGGGGTCTATAAATACCCTAGCTATTTCAGCATGGAATGCACGAATTTGAATAGAAAATTGAGTTGAAAAAGGAAAAAATAATACTTGAGTAAAAATTATAATCTCTATAGATTAGTGAGTCTCTTCCTCGTACAGTTATAATGTTTATGTTTATAAGGGATGAGTGAGGTCTAAAAAAGAGAAGTGTAAATATTCTCTCTTGAACTTTAGAAAAGGAGAAAGAGTGTAAAAGGATAGTTGATTTTCACCCATTGAAGGAAGATCGGTAGTGGAAGCCAATGACATCGAGTGAAGAGGAATCGAGAATGGATATAAGTCATGACGACCGAACCATTATAAATTAGTATGTCTTCTTTCTTCGTTGTCATTTACTTTGTAATTGTTTTACTACCTTGTTACTTTAGGACACTCTTACAAGTATTTTTAAAGTAAACATTATCGAAACAATTTTTTTTGTATGAAGTTTTTGACTCGACATAATTTTTATCGCTGTATTAATTCACCTCCCTTTTAGTACCGACATGATCCTAACAAATATCTCTCAAAATATAATATTAAGATTTTTTTAAAAAAATAATGATTTAAATTTAATCGAATGCGAGCAACATCCTCATATCACATCATCATATTCAATTTGAGGATCCTAAACTATGAAAACTTTAAATTTTTTTGCTCTTAATAAAGGTATAATTTTGTTCTTTTGCAAAATGATTGGATGTGAGTTTCACTTAATCACATGAAATTGTTTTCCCCCTCATTGCTACATTCTGAATATTAATATATAAAACAACTTCGGCTTAAACTAATCATTTGATCGTAAACACGAAGATTATAAAGTCAATGCAATCCATCCATTCACGATGAATTTTTAGGACGGGGATAAGTATTCTATCCTAAAATTAATAAGATTGACTGAAATTACTTATATATCCTTCGTATTTATCCCCAAATAAATAGATAAATATTACGGATTCCTATGCCAAAAATTGGCGTCCCCGAACTCGAACACCCCGCTGTCATCACCCACTCATCTTTGCCATTCCAGCTGTTCTTCTAACCGTTCATCACCCCGATCACATTACGCCCCACCTCCTCTCTCGAGGGACCCACGCCATAAAATGTCTCGCGCGCAGAGGTTTCCGCCGTGGAGCGGGAGAGGCAACTCAGGCGGAGGCGGAGGCGGAGGCGGAGGGAGAGGGAGGAAGCGCCACCATGGCCCCTTCCGTGAGAGGCCGAGGTGGCAGCGTCGCCGCTGGGGACGTCGGAGGAGGAGCAGGAGAAGGCGGTGGATACTACCCTGCGCCTCCTCCCATCCCCTTCTCGAGACACCACCTGGAAGTGACGGTGATCTCGGCTCAGGATCTCTACCCGGCCGCCCGGTCGATGCGCACATACGCGGTGGCCTATTTTCGGCCCGACCACCGCGCCCGCACCCGCATCGACGCCTCCGGCCACACCGACCCCACCTGGAACGACAAATTCGTCTTCCGCGTCGACGACGCCGTCCTTCACTCCGACACCTCTGCCATCACCATCGACGTCTACGCCGACCGCCCGGGCCTTCTGCCGGGCCCCGACATCCTCCTCGGCACCGCCCGCGCCCTCCTCTCCACCCTCCGCCCCTCCTCCGCCATCCACTACGCGGCCCTTCAGATCCGCCGCCCCGCCTCCCTCCGCCCGCAGGGCATCCTCAACCTCGGCGTCGCCCTCGTCGACCCCTCCGCCCGCACCGTCCCCGTCCACGCCAACCGCGGCCACGCCTCCTCCACCCCCAGGCCCGAGGTCCCGAAGCCCAAGCGTCCCACCGCGGGAACCAGTCGAGCGGCGGACCGGGAGAGGACGGAGCTGGAGAGGAAGCTAGAGAAGTGGAGGGCCGAGCTGCCGCCAGTCAGCGGCGAGGTGGTGAGACAGGAGAAGGGAGGACGCAACCGCGGCGCCCCCGTGGCCGCGGTCGTCGAGGACGAGCCAGTGATTCGGCCGCAGAGGAATCGGAGCTTTAAGAGGTTTGCGTGCTTCGGCGGCGGAAATGTGGAGTCGGGGGAGTTCGTTGCCGCCCCGCGATATGTGGAGGAGAGGCCGCCGAGAAGGGCCGCTAGGGTTGCCGTCCATCGCCACAAGGGGTAAGGGTCATCTTGTAAGTTCGTTTTTGTTTGTGGGTTTTTCTGCATAGTAGCATAAATCCAAATAAGACTAATTATATAACACCATAAATCTTTATTTTTTTAAAAAATTATATTAAGATTTTTATATTTTATATTAATATTTTACTTTCAAAATACTAAATATAATTAATTATAAAAATAATCTATAATTAATCCTCATAAAAATTAATTTTGTATATTTTATGAAAAAAATGAAAGAAATAAATATATGACTGGTTAGTCTTCGTTACTGCAGCTATAGAGATCGAGAAGGGCTGCTCAATATTTGATCATCATATCACTTATTTACGTGGCAAGATGCGTCAGAAAAGGGTGCAACATGTCATGTGGAGTTGCAATAACCATATCCAGTCTGCTTCCGAGTCCATTCATCCGTGATCGAGTTCTTTAGTTCTCCGACACAGTACGGAAATTTTTTTGGTGTGTTCTTCAAACGCTTCTTTTGTAAGAATTATTGAGGTCCAAACGATTTGAAACGACAGCTGAAATATAGTTGGTTGACGTAAAATGACGTGGAAAAATAAATATACCTTTAATATAAAATCAAAACGGTGCAGATGAGATCTCAGCCCCCTCTTCTGATAATGAAAACGACGATCACACGCCTGTCACGTGAGTACCACGTGGGAAAGGCCACTGTGAGATAAACCCCTCGCCGCTGTCCTCTGCGTCGGTCTGTTTTACTCTGCTTCTGCTCCTTATCTTTCTCGTCGATGCCTCTGCTCCATCTCCCCTTTTCTCAGATCCGGCCTCCATGCGTCGCCAGCTTCCGTCCCAGGCTGGCCGGCTCACATAACGTTCCGGCGAGGGACAGGATCATTGACTTCGGCAAGCACAAGGGACGGATGCTGGGCTCCCTTCCGTCGTCTTACCTTCGGTGGGTGTCGAGGAACCTCCGCGCCCGCGACTTCGAGGAGTGGGCACGCCTGGCCGACGAGGTGCTGCAGGACCCGGTCTACCGAGACCGGCTGGAGTGGGAGGCGTTGGAGCGGATCCTCACCGGAGACGGCCTCCGCCGGAGCTCATTCGACCCCGCCGACTCTCCCGTCGCCGAGCTCATCGAGGTCAGCGATCGCTTCGGGTGGGACAACAAGGCCAAGGACGCCTGGGCCGGGATCAACTTCGAGCTCCTGGGCACCTCCAAGGGCGGGCGCATACCCCGGGTCCGAAGCCCATCCCCGGCCACGGAGGGCGGCCATGGAGAGGGTAAACGCGTGACCTTTCGCCGGGATTCGAAGATCTCGAGCGGTTCCAGACCGGGGCCGGAGAAGAAATCGGGAGGTGTTGATGTGGGTTCTATTTTGGGCGGAGTGCGGCTGAAACGGGACGGGAAAACGATCGTTCCGGCCTGCGACTCAATTGCTTTGAGCAAGGAACAGACGGGAGCCTTCGCCACGGATTCGACATCGAGGGAACAAATCAAGGATGGATTTTTCAGAGGCAATCCGAAGGGTCCCCTCCATGGGAGCACTTCGAGCGGAAGACGGGTGGGAATTTTAAGCAAGGGGCATAGATTTGTGATTGGCGGCGGAGGAGAAGAAGAAGAACAAGAAGAAGAAGAAGAAGAAGAGGGGAAGGAGGAGGTGGCGACGAGAGGAAATAGAGAGGAGAGGAGGGCGAGGAGGAGATTAAAGAGGGAGCAGCAGCTCGAGATGCTGAGAAGGGAGGTGGGAGTGGAGGAGAGGAGTGGAAGAGGCAACGAGGCCTTGGTGAACAAGAGAGGAGTTTTGAGAGGAGAACACCACCACCAGATCGCCAATCCTTTTCCTGGACGGAGAGCCCTTTTGGAGAAGGTCAAAAGACAGGGAGACTGATCGACTTGTTTCCTCGATTAGTTTTGACTTGCAACTTAGAAATTGCATGCTTGTTGAGTTAGTTTTCTATGAGCCAACATTTTTAATTATTAGAGAATAAATAATTATGTTATTAATTTTCCAAGTACAAAAAGGATTACTAAATGCAATTATGATGACATAATACATCATTATTATATTTTCGTATATTTGTTATTGTTGCCGATTATTAAGTTATATGTTCAATAGGAAGAAAAAAAAGGATTAATCTGAGTTTTGATAAGATTAAAAATAAGAAAACCTGCACCAGCCGGGAATCGAACCCGGGTCTGTACCGTGGCAGGGTACTATTCTACCACTAGACCACTGGTGCTGCTGTGAAAGAATGCAAACACTATTATATTTAATGTATATTTTAATCTCTATTTCCCCGCAGTTTTGGTTCGCGTCATGCCGAAAGGGGTTTCACATCGACCCTCTCTGGAGCACTCGAGAGAGCTTCCGTTTAACATTAAGAGGAGTGGTTCGGGATCAAGATGGATGCTGACGGTCAGTTGCCATGGAATTAAACTTCTTTTTCTTGTTATGCGTCTTCGTACACTTGTTGCTTCTGATATCATTTGTTATAGACCTTGAGAACCTTGTTTTCCTGGTTGCTTGTTTGCAGGAACATCTTGACCATTGTACCAAGAAAAAAGAAGGAATCTTCGGACATCAGCAGGACTAATTGTATTAATCAACTGATTTCGACGGTCAGTTCCGATGGCATTAGACTTCTTTTTTCCTTTTTGTTAGGTATCTTTATGTCCCTTTTGTTCTGATATCCTTTTGGTTTCCTGGTCGGCGGCAAAAAAAAAGAATGAATCCTGTGACATCGAGAGCACCGGTTGCGTTAATCGACCGATGATAGTTCACATGGCATTGACATTCATTTTCTTTTTCTTGTTATTTGTTTCTTTATGTCATTCGATAATTGCGATGAAGGCATTGATTTCATGTTTGGTGGAACATCTTCAATGTTCTATCATGAAGGAAAAAAAAATGAATCTTTTGACATCAAGAGGACCGATTGCATTAATTCTTGAATCCTAACGTTCAGTTCCATGGCATTATGTTCATTCTCTTTTGTTATTACCAGAAGATCTTTAACATTCTACCAAGAAAAAGAAGGAGTCTTTTGACATCAGGAGGACTGGTTGCATCCATCGGTAGATCCCTGTGTTCTCTTCCCATGTTATTAATGTTATAGTCTTTGCACCCTTCTGGTTTTTGGTATTGTTCTTCATCGTTGTCTAGATCGCCTTAGGAACTGATACAAAAAGTTCTGTGCAAATGATTCAATATTCTGATTGTGTGTTTAGATCTTGGCCACAACATAATGATGCTTTAAAACCTTTATCATTGTTAACATCATCTACTTTTTGGTTGACTTTGTTATTATTGCCTGTCATCATTGTTGCAATAATTTGTTTGTTCATCTACTCTGCTTTCACAGAACAGGATCCCACTTAAGCTCTGCCTACATCACAGTTGTTTTCTTAAGCTAGAAATGTTGCTTTCTGGATCAACGTAAGCAATTAGTCGACGTACTAAATGCAACCATACCAATCTCATTTAGAAAATTTAATGTTGTGTTTTATTCTAGATTCTGTAATTAATGGGATATGTAAAGTCTTCTC